GGCAGGCGGACTCTCAACCACTGCGCCACCAGGGAAGCCCCTGAATTCTTTTTCTGGAAGGTTGCCTATCTCCACTTCATTTAGTTGTTTTTCTGGGGTTTCATCTTGTTCCTTCATCTGCTACATAGCCTCTGTCTTTTCATCTTGTCTATGTTTCTGGGAATGTGGTTTTCATTACACAGGCTGCAGGATTGTAGTTGTGCTTCTTCTGTCTGCCCTCTGGTGGATGAGGGTATCTAAGAGGCTTGTGCAAGTTTCCTGATGGGAGGGACTGGTGATGGGTAGAGCTGGCTGTTGCTCTGGTGGGCAGAGCTCAGTAAAACTTTAATCTGCTTGACTGCTGATGGGTGGGGCTGGGTTCCCTCCCTGTTGGTTATTTGGCCTGAGGCGACCCAACACTGGAGCCTACCTGGGCTCTTTGGTGGGGCTAATGGTGGACTCTGGGAGGGCTCATGCCAAGGGGTACTTCCCAGAACTTCTGCTGCCAGTATCCTAGTCCTCACGGTGAGACAGAGCCACCCCCCACCTCTGCAGGAGACCCCTTAGCACTAGCAGGTAGGTCTGGTTCAGTCTCCTATGGGGTCATTGCTCCTTCCCTCCTGGGTCTTGATGCGCACACTACTTTGTGTGTGCCCTCCAAGAGTGGAGTCTCTGTCTCCCCCTGTCCTGTCAAAGTCCTGCAATCAATTCCCACTAGGCTTCAAAGTCTGATTCTCTAGGAATTCCTCCTCCCTTTGCCAGACCCCTAGGTTGGGAAGCCTGACATGGGGCTCTGAACCTTCACTCCAGTGGGTGGACTTCTGTGGTATAAGTGTTCTCCAGTTTGTCAGTCACCCACCCAGCAGTTATGGGATTTGATTTTATTGTGATTGTGCCCCTCCTACCGTCTCATTGTGGCTTCTCCTTTGTCTTTGGATGTGGGGTATCTTTTTTGGTGAGTTCCAGTGTCTTCCTGTCGATGATTGTTGAGCAGGTAGTTGTAATTCTGGTGTTCTCGCAAGATGGAGTTTTTTTTCTTTTTTTAATTTTTGGCTGCGTTGCGTCTTCTGTGCTGCGCACAGGCTTTCTTCTTGTTGTGGCGAGCAGGGGCTTTGCTTCGTTGTGGTGTGCGGGCTTCTCATTGCTGTGGCTTCTCTTGTTGCAAAGCACGGGCTCTACGTGTGCGGGCTTCAGTAGTTGTGGCTCACAGGCTGTAGAGCACAGGCTGAGTAGTTGTGGCTCACGGGCTTAGCTGCTCTGTGGCATGTAGGATCTTCCCGGACCAGGGCTGGAACCCATGTCGCCTGTATTGGCAGACAGGTTCTTAACCACTGTGCCACCAGGGAAGTCCTCAAGGTTTTACCAAAACACATTTCTGTGTCACACTCCCAGAGTTTTTGATTCAGTATATTGGGGGTGGGGCTGATAATTTGCATTTCCAGTAATTTCACAGGGTTGTTGATGCTGCTGGTCTGGGGACTACACTTTGATAAACACTGGTTACAGTGAGCCTGGCGCTGTGTGAGAAACTACTGTCAGATGTGGTCTCTAGGCTTGAAGAGGCTGCCTTCGATTTGGGATCTGCCTTCTATATGAAGGCACCTAAATGTGAGTCTCTGCAGGTCAGGTACCAAATGAGTCTGAGAAGTTCACAGGAGGGAGAACTCTCCAGTAGCAGGGAAGTCAGGAAGCTTTTACTGAGCTGTTGTGGTCTTTTGAGCTGAGTGCTTAAGGATCAATGAGTGCCATATTCCAGGCAGGAAAACACTTCGTGTGGAGGTGGAAATGTCACAAGACAGTTTCAGTGGGTGGCAAGTAGCTAGTCACTTTGAGTTGGTGGGTATTGTATGCTGGTAATTCAAAATAAGGTTTGGAAAATAATTGGGCTCAGATTGCTTGGACTTTGAACACTGAAGAGGCAGGGTTTCAGTAGAGGTGGCTAGCCATGGGCAGGGCCTTATTCAGGGCTGGAGGAGCAGGCCGGTGGGTGGGGAGAGAATGTATAAGAAGGAGGCAACCAGCCAGAAGATCTTAACTTCATCGTTGCATTATTCTGTTCCCAACCCTTGGGATTTATTTTTTTTCTTCCATGTTGGGTAGTAAATTGGTCCTGAAAACTGACCATGTTTACTAGTGGTAAATCATTACATGATTACCAGTGGTTCATTGATAATCTTGACAAGATTAACTGTGATTTTTTTTTTTTTTTTTTAATAAATCCCTGGAGCCAAAGGAAAAAAAAATGAGAGAGAGAGAGAGACATGGGTGGGTTCTAAAATGCAAAAGGTTGTAAGTGTTGGTTTGGGTACAGCTAATGAGAACTTTTGTAGTTGGATGCGTTATTTGGCGAGGTAAGATTATTTGGATTTCCAGTTTCAGTTTTTTAGCAGAGAGTGATTTTTGTTGGACTTAAAAAAAAAAAAAGGAACAAAACTAACAATGTAGCGGTCACCATTTAGTGCTTTGGCCTAGTCTCTATTTTGAAATATTGTAATATGCAGCTAATTCATATGGATTTTGAGAGTAATGTGACCTCTAAAAACATAATACCTTTAGCGGATGGTCGTATTTCTTTTAAAGTTTAAAAGATATTACTACTTCTAAGCCCAGAAAATAAAGATTAAGTGATAAACGTTAATAATTCACCAAGCAATAAGTAAATCTGCATTTTCCTTATATCCTATTTTTTTTAATTGAAGTATAGTTGATGTACAATATTATATGTTACAGGTGTAAATATAGTGATTCACATTTTTAAAGGTTACACTCCATTTGTAGTTCTTATAAAATATTGGCTATATTCCCTGTGTTGAATAATATGTCCTTGTAGCTTATTTTATACATAATAGTTTGTACTTCTTAATCTCCTATCCCTATTTTGCCCCTCCTCTGTTTCTTTCTCCCTATGGGTAACCACTAGTTTGTTCTCTGTATCTGTTTCTTTTTTGTTATATTCACTACTTTGTTGTATTTTTTAGATTCACACGTGAGATCATATAGTATTTGTCTTGTCTAATTTATTTCACTTAGCATAATACCCTCCAAGTCCATCCATGTTGCTGCAAATGTCAAAATTTCATTCTTTTTCATGGTTGAGTAGTATTCCATTGTATATGTATATGTGTGTATATATATATATATATATATATATACCACCTCTTTTATCCATCCATCTGTTGATGGACACTTAGATTGCTTCCATATCTTGGCAATTGTAAATAATGCTGTGAACATTGGGGTGCATGTATCTTTTCGGATTAGTGCTATTGTTTTTTTCGGATATATACCAAGGAGTGGAATTGCTGGGTCATGTGGTAATTCTATTTTTAGTATTTTGAGAAACCTCTATACTGTTTTTTCCACAGTGGCTGCACCAGTTTACATTCCCACCAAGACTGTAACACAGTATATCTTTCCATCTTCAGTTTCTTACATCAGTGTCTTATAGTTTTCCAAGTACAGGTCTTTTACCTCCTTAGGTAGGTTTATTCTTCGGTATCTTATTCTTTTTGATGCAACAATAAACGGGATTGTTCCCTTAATTTCTCTGATAGTTCATTGTTGGTGTTTCCTTACATTCTTAATTGTTTTACTGCTCTTTGTTCTTGGGTCTAAGTCAGTGCAAGTTTTTAAGATTTAGTGAAGCACCATAAAAAGGTTTTTTTTGGATGGATTTTGATTTGTATAGATAAAAAGATTTGTAAGATAAAGAGGAAAAGGCAAGTGTACTATTGTTGTCTTGGACATAAGTAACATTGAATGTGATTCTTGAACAACTTTTTAATTCCCATATGTTTATTATTGTGGTTGGAGCTCCCTTGTGTTTATGCTTTGAAAAGTTTTGTTGCTTTCATGAAACTGCAAGTTAAAATCGTATCTTTTTGAATTTTAGGTACTTACACTGTGAAATTTTATGATGGAGTAGTTCAGACTGTCAAACATATTCATGTCAAAGCTTTTTCGAAAGATCAGGTGAGAAATGTGGTTTTATGCTTTGTGGTATGAATAATGCTAATGTTATAGTTTTGTTTCTCAAAGATGTTACATTTGTTTATGATGACAAAATCTTTCCTTCATCTGACATGATTTCACCAGAAAGCAATACACAAGTTTTCAGAAATTGTAAATATTTGTCTCTCTGCCTTTTTCTTTTCATACCAGTTCTTTTCAGAAGTGCCAGTACTTGAGTACCATTACCTGTTATCTGTCTTTTTCCCAAAGCGCCTGGTTGTTATTCTTTTTTCTGTCTTCCTGTGCTCTGCCCACAGAGCTGTTTCCCCTCACAGGGAACTTGCTGAGTGGTTGAAGAGATGGAGATGTTTTCTCCTCATCTGACTTTGTCCTTCAGCTCAGGACCATGGCTTGGTGGTTACGGAGCCACCATTTGGTGTAGATTTGGCAAGCACTTGTGCTAGATGTGCCTGGGTTGAAATTTTGTTTCCTTTTGTCCCTTTCACCATCCATGTACTTGTCTAAGCACGGGTCCTGAGTTTTTTGTTTTTTTTGTTTTTGAGGTATGCGGGCCTCTCACTGTTGTGGCCTCTCTCGTTGCGGAGCACAGGCTCCGGACGCGCAGGCTCAGCGGCATGTGGGATCTTCCCGGACAGGGGTGCGAACCCGTGTTTCCTACATCGGCAGGCGGACTCTCAACCACTGCGCCACCAGGGAAGCCCCGGGTCCTGAGTTTTGATACTGGAAATGTGGTGCACACAGATAGATTCTGGCCATCTGGAAGTGTTGCCTACTTTCTTCATGATTTTTTTTTATATTTATGTCTTAATGAAATAGCTGAGGAGAAAGATTCTGATTGTAACTAATTGTTATTTACTTCTTTGGGTGGTTGTTGATCTGAGAGTATTTGGTAATCCTGGAACCTTCTAATAAATTCTTCTGAACACATATTTAGCAATTCCGAAGCATCATGATACATGATGTTGTTAAAGATAATTTCAAAAGTGTTATTGCCTTTCTGGTTTTCCTCTTCAGAAAATTGACAAAATTATAAAGCTTTAGCCCTGAAGATGTTTTCTCTTTGATCATTTGCTTCTCAGGCATCTAAGGAGCTACACAGCACTCTAAAACATTATTTTGGCCTTCAGTTTGGCAATTTTTGTGTTAAGTTTGTGGAATGAGTTAATACAGATAGAGGACTGTATTAAGAACATGTCCAGAGCTGTCAGATTGTATCTAGAATCTACACAAGTGGAAGTCTAGGGCTCCACATAACAAACGTTCATCTGTTTCCTCTAATTGATAGTACTCATGGTGCCTTAGCTTGGGGATGGGCACCTCACCCTGTGTGGATTTGTGAGTATTCAGTCCTCGATTCCCAGCTGCCTCTGAGTGTCTCATGTCATCTCAGACCTGGCAGATGGTCAATCACAGGCCCATGGCTCCTGTTTGTTTTTCTTTTCCAAGAGGACATAGTGGTTTGGATAAATGACTTCTCAGCTAGGCCACTTACAAAGCAAAATTTCTTACAAATATCTGTCAGACAATTTTTAAAGCTTTTTTCATATAGTATTAGATTGTTTTTTTGTTTTTTAAATAGGATTGTACTGCCCTAAGTGGTTTGATAATCTATATTTCAGGAACATTTATCTTTTTTTGAAGTTATAGAAACAATATATGTTTGCTGTAGAAAATTTAGAAAGTACAGAAAAGCGCAAAGAAAGTAAAAATTGTATAATTCTATCATCTAGATGCAATTGCTCTTAACATTTTAATGTATAGCCTTCTGTATTTTTTTAAAAAGATACTTATGTATATATATTTTTCTTTTCCAAATTTGAGTCATATGTTACTGTTCTATAAGTTGCTCTTTTTTTTTTTTGTGCGGTGTGTGGGCCTCACTGTTGTGGCCTCTCCCGTTGCGGAGCACAGGCTCCGGACGCGCAGGCTCAGCGGCCATGGCTCACGGGCCCAGCCGCTCTGCAGCATGTGGGATCCTCCCGGACCGGGGCACAAACCCGCGTCCCCTGCATCGGCAGGCGAACTCTCAACCACTGTGCCACCAGGGGAGCCCTGTAACTTGCTCTTTTAACAAAATAACATTTTCCCAAGTTCCTAAGTACTGTATGGGAATATAGCTTTTAATGGCTAAGTAGTATTTATAATATATATATATAACCCTACTTTGTGTAACCAGTTTTCTAATGGTCATTTAAGGATATTTGTAAATCTGGGTACACACGTCTGATTATTTTGTTAGCAGATTTCATTTCTAGGAATTCATTCTAGTTCAAAAGTATAAACATAAGACTTTTGACCTAAATTGCCAACCCCCCTTCCTGGTGGTTGCAACTTATATTTCTGCCAGCAGTTACTGAGGAGTGCTTGTTCTCAAACCTGGCTGCTTTCAGAAAATTTTGGAGACTTGAAAAAAATATTTTCTTTTAGTTTCTAACCACAGGGATTCTTTTTTTTTTTTTTTTAAGGCATCTCGCTTCCTTCTTGCTCTGTCTTTTTTTTTTTTTTTTAAGGCCCCTCGCTTCCTTCTTGCTCTGTCTTTTTTTTTTTTTTTTAAGGCCCCTCGCTTCCTTCTTGCTCTGTCTTTTTTTTTTTTTTTTAAGGCCCCTCGCTTCCTTCTTGCTCTGTCTTTTTTTTTTTTTTTTAAGGCCCCTCGCTTCCTTCTTGCTCTGTCTTTTTTTTTTTTTTTTAAGGCCCCTCGCTTCCTTCTTGCTCTGTCTTTTTTTTTTTTTTTTAAGGCCCCTCGCTTCCTTCTTGCTCTGTCTTTTTTTTTTTTTTTTAAGGCCCCTCGCTTCCTTCTTGCTCTGTCTTTTTTTTTTTTTTTTAAGGCCCCTCGCTTCCTTCTTGCTCTGTCTTTTTTTTTTTTTTTTAAATTAATTAATTTATTTATTTTTGGCTGTGTTGGGTCTTCGTTTATGTGCGAGGGCTTTCTCCAGTTGCAGCAAGTGGGGGCCACTCTTCATCGCGGTGCGCGGGCCTCTCACTGTCGCGGCCTCTCTTGTTGCGGAGCACAAGCTCCAGATGCGCAGGCTCAGTAGCTGTGGCTCACGGGCCTAGCTGCTCCGCGGCATGTGGGATCCTCCCAGACCAGGGCTCGAACCCGTGTCCCCTGCATCGGCAGGCGGACTCTCAACCACTGTGCCACCAGGGAAGCCCTAACCACAGGGATTCTTGTTTATTACTTTTCCCTCTGGAACAAATTAAACTTTTACTCACTTTGTATTTAGGCAGTCCTTCCTGCTCCTGGCAAAAATCTGTGTGCCAAGTGTGTGCTTGGTGCTAGGGATCCAATATGAACATGATGTGGTGGTCTCTGCTCTTCTCTTGAGGTCTTAGAAGAAAGATACTTACACAAATGAACTTAATTGTAGTTTTGGAAACTCCAGAGCTTTTAGAGCTGGCTTTATTATGAGACAGTATACTAGGACACAAGATTTTTTAAATGAATTTTGAAAAAGTAATTTAGGAGGAAATTAACCAAGAAGCAGTACTTTCTCCTAATGGGCAAAAACTCAGTAGCTCAGGAACGCAGTAGGTGGCTTGTTCGACTGAGCACAGCCTTTACCCAGTAGAGGAAGCAAAGACCCTGTTTTTGAGATGGAAAATCTTTACAGCTTTCTGGTTCGCCTCTAGTTATCAGTTTGGGTTCTTCTCTACACAGGACATCAGCATCTGCTGGCAAACTGAGCCAGCCTCTGAAAGGCCCTGGGTCAGTGTAGTCGTTCTTGGGAGGAGACAGATGGGGCATGAAGGTATCTCTGTCAAAAAGATTGCTTCCCAGAAGAGGTCCCTGGGGTAGTTGTCTGTCCCTTTAATTATTTTTTAGTGACTTACTAATCAAAAGGGGAGATAGCATTGTCTCAGAAGGAATGAACATGGCTGTTATTTTCTTTAAACTTAGGACTGTTTTTCAAACCTCAGACTATGGGTGTATATTTTCAATGGTGCTTTCCATTACATGACCTGATACATGTCCTCTTTTAATTTCTTTGTCTTCATAAGTTTACAAAAAACCGTCTGATTTTATATTTGCAAGTAATCACAAAGTGTGTTTCATCGCTATTTTGCTCATTTTAGAATATTGTGGATAATGCTAGGCCTAAAGAAACAGAACACAAAAGTCTTTCATCATCTCCTGATAAACGAGAGAAGTTTAAAGAGCAGAGAAAAGCCACAGCCAATGTGAAGAAAGACAAAGAGGACAAAGCCTTAAAGACAGAAAAGAGACCCAAACAGCCTGATAAAGAAGGAAAGTTAATCTGTTCTGAAAAGGGGAAGGTGTCAGAGAAGAGCCTTCCCAAGAACGAGAAAGAAGATAAGGAGAACATTTCAGAAAATGACAGAGAGTATTCTGGAGATGCTCAAGTGGATAAGAAACCTGAAAATGACATTGTGAAGAGTCCACAAGAAAACTTGAGGGAGCCAAAAAGAAAGCGAGGCAGACCCCCTTCCATAGCTCCTACTGGTGAGTTTCCCAAGTGTGCAATGCCAGAGTGTTCTTCTGTGGTCCTTTGTGGTTCTTTACGACTTCTGTACTTCAAGCCTTTTTGTGACTGACTTTGAATCATCCTGTCATCTAAAAACAAGTCATGCCCATAGAGCTGAATTTTATGGGAGGCATATATCCAGGTGAACATAAGTTTCAGAAACATGTCCTTGACTGGGCTTCTGGGGTGACAGATAACTTCACTAGATACTTCAGCTTATATGATAAAGCCTAATAAGCTAAGGCCATTTGCTTTTGCCAATTCAAATGATTTCACTTTAAGTAAGCTTACTAGAACGTAGAATCAGGAAATAGTGTTTTCATGAGTGACATGAAATGGGAAAGGAGAAGTAAATAGGTGTGGGCATCTGGAGGAGGCGACAAGAAAGAACACTGGACCTAGGAACGTATGGGTACATTTGAAATTGAGATCTCTGGAGAGTGATTATGGATCGGAAATTTTCCCTATCCAAATAAAAAGCTGAGATGGCTAATTGGTAGAGTCAAGGCTAGAGGATTTAGGGAAGAATACACAATTGTTTTAAAAAGTTGAAATATAGAATTCTTCTAGAATAGCCAAGTAAGAAACAAACCCTGAATTTTTTCCTAAGGCAAACATTCCTCCTCTAGATTGAGTGGCGTGAAGAACCCCCAGGATCTCTAGACTGAACACTGCCTATAATTATCTGGCAGTGGCCTTCAGACATTCTTGTTTACATGTTCTTTACATAAATGTTGAAAAACTGAATCCCCTAGTTTTTTTTTTTTTTTTTTTTGCGGTACGCGGGCCTCTCACTGTTGTGGCTCACCCTTTGCGGGGCACAGGCTCCGGTCGCGCAGGCGCAGTGGCCATGGCTCACGGGCCCAGCCGCTCCGCAGCATGCGGGATCCTCCCGGACTGGGGCACGAACCTGTGTGCCCTGCATCGGCAGGGGGACTCTCAACCACTGCACCACCAGGGAAGCCCGAATCCCCTAGTTTTAAAGTGATACCTGGGGACTTGCCTGGCGTTCAGCAGTTAAGACTCCACGCTTCCACTGCGGGGGGCTCTGGTCCGATCCCCGGTCGCGGAACTAAGATCCCACACGACGTGTGGCAAGGCCAAAAAAAAAAAAAGTGATACCTGTTTTTTTCTTACAAGATTGAATAGCTGCCAAAGGTTAAATTTAAAATATAAAATGTGACAAAATATATTTTCATCAAAACTGTGGAACTACAGAGTTAGCTCATTTGTTGTTCCCTTATGATGCAGAATGCAAAGCCCGTCCTATATCAATCCAGACAGCTACACCAGACTTAATTTCTGTGGCAGAAGCTCTACCTTTATTTACGTCAAATAAATGTATTAGTACTTGTTCCCAGTAGACAGCCTTCTTACATCTTCTAATTTTAAGGTATGAAGTAAGACAATAGATTGATTTCTTCCTAGATGAAATAAGGCAGTTCCCCCTTCAGTGGTTATAAGTGGGTTTCACTCTCAAGATCTGAGCATGCTGGAATTGTCCCTACGCCTAACTAGGGCCTAGACCTGTGCTGTCCGATATGGTAGCTGCTAGCCACCTGTGGTTACTGAGCACTTGAAATGTGGCTACTCTGAATTGAGATGGGCTGTAACTTGTAAAATACACAAGGGAGGGAATTCCCTGGTGGTCCAGTGGTTAGGACTCTGTGCTTTTAGCACCGAGAGAGGGCCCGGGTTCAATGCCTGGTCGGGGAATTAAGATCCTGCTAGCCATGCAGCGTGGCCAAAACAAAACAAAAAAACCACACTGGTTTTCAAATAGTACAAAAAAAAAAAAAGAAAAAGAAACACCCAGGAATGTAAGATATCTCAGTAAATTAAAATTATTGACTACATGTTGGAATGATGTTTTGGATGTATTGGGTTAAATAAAATATATTCTTAAAATTAATTTCACTTTTTTTAACTTCTTAAAGTGACAACTAAAAATTGAAAATTACCTATGTGGCTTCTATTTATGGCCCTCATATTTCTATTGGACAGCACTGGCTTCATTGGCTTTCTCCGTAGGGTTCCAAGAGAGAATTAAGCTCTAATGCCCAAGGCATCTGTGACCTCTAATGAATTGACTTCTGCAAATTGAGAATGTTAGTAGAATGATAAACCACTCTTGGGAGAATTGAGAAAATAACCTTTGTGTTCTATTTTCAAATGAGGAACCCTAATTGAGAAAGTCCGGAGGTTTTAAACCTCTGGGCAGTGTACCATGTTAAGATGTGGGATATAATAAGCAGGCCTTTTTATTAAGTGTAGGATTTCACACCAGATAGGATCAGTTTAATAGAGAACTGGAGTTTTCCAAGCTTACTGTTAACACTTGCCTGAGGCATTCCTCTCCAGTCAGAATTTTCTGAGGCAGGATCTGGGAATGCTAACTGTTCACAACCTTCCCAGATAATTCTTACTGTAATAAGAGTGTGGGAAACACTGAAGTTCTGTATGGTCAGCCCCAGTTTGTATGTGGTATCAAAATGAAGAAGGTTTGCCAGTATCTAATATATAGTTCAAATCCCCTTTAAAAATTGCTTGAAATAAGTTCATTGACACGGTAGAGTCTTGAGCTCTCTAGATTGTACAGACCTTATTGGAACAGGATCTGAGCTGTTTGGGGAAGGTTGTTTGTGTTTAATTTGGAATGTGTGTGGTCTCCAAGTTCCCACCCTTGGAACAAAATAATGTTGGCACATTGAGAAGATTGAACACAGGAAGAGCCAAAGAGTTCAGCACTCTCATCAGGTTTGCGTCCTCAGAGCTCAGCCTTGTCTCCTTTGGCCATTTGACATTGCAGATCTGAAGCTGCTGGTCTTAGATGAGTCTTTTCTCTCCCTTCCCACTTCCCCTCCCATTTCCTTCTCTTCCTCCCTCTTCTTTCTCCTGGCTGCTTCTTTCTCTCATTTCAACCCTCATCAGACCCCCAGCCCTACCTTTGCCTCAAGCTTCCCAATTTCTTTTCTTTTCTTTTTAAAAAATTAATTAATTTATTTATTTTTGGCTGCATTGGGTCTTCGTTGCTGCGCACAGTCTTCCTCTAGTTGCAGCGAGCAGGGGCTACTCTTCACTGCTGTGTGTGGGCTTCTCATTGTGGTGGCTTCTCTTGTTGCAGAGCACGGGCTCTAGGTGTGTGGACTTCAGTAGTTGTGGCACACAGGCTCAATAGTTGTGGCTCACGGGCTCTAGAGCGCAGGTTCAGTAGTTGTGGCGCACGGGCTTAGTTGCTCTGCAGCATGTGGGATCTTCCTGGACCAGGGCTCGAACCCATGTCCCCTGCATTGGCAGGCTGATTCTTAACCACTGTGCCACCAGATAAGTCCCTCACTATTTCTTTTCTTTTCTTTTTTTCTTTTGCCTGCCTTTTGGATTCTCACCTTTCCTCGTGGGGGAGAACTTCTTAAGTGTTAGGTTTAAAAATACAGAGTGAGGGACTTCCCTGGTGGTGCAGTGGTTAAGAATCAGCCTGCCAATGCAGGGGACGTGGGTTCGATCCCTGGTCTGGGAAGATCCTACATGCCGTGGAGCAACTAAGCCCGTGCACCACAACTACTGAGCCTGTGCTGTAGAGCCCGCGAGCCACAACTACTGAGCCCATGCACCACAACTACTGAAGCCCCTGCGCCTTGAGCCCCTGCTCCGCAACAAGAGAAGCCACTGTAATGAGAAGCCTGCGCACTGCAATGAAGAGTAGCCCCCGCTGGCTGTAACTAGAGAAAGCCCGTGCATAGCAAAGAAGACTCAACGCAGCCAAAAATAAATAAATAAATAAATAAACTTAAAAAAAAAAAGAGTGAGTACTATCTAAGGGTTTAGCTTCTGCACTGCCAAATTATGTCAGGGCTGGATTTTCCACTGTTAAGCAGCCTTGCCTGGCACTGACTATCAAATAGCATAGTCTCCTGAGAATTTTCTGGAATTGTTTTTAAGAGGTTGTAAATGTTGACATTCTTTTTGGTCCTTCAAAATTAGGACCAATGCCAAGCTAACCAATTTAGCAGGTAGAGGTTGAAAGTAATAATCAAGCCATAGTCCTAGGGTACACATTTTAAGAATTAGCCTGCCTGGTAGATTTCCTGAGTATTGTATAAACCAAATTTTGATAAGATTTGATTGTGATAAAAATGACTTTTCTGTTGCCTTTGTACCCTCATATTTTAAAGCAGTCACGTTGGGGTATTTAAAGAGAGGGTTTCAGGAGATAAATATATGAATAGAGCTGGGTCATAGGAGAAACCAAAAAGATTCAGGAGGTCAGTCTGCAGGGTGTCTGCGTCTCCTTAAAGGAAGTAATTTCTCACCCATTTCACTTTTTTTTTCCCTTTTGACTTTAGTAAGAATTCCCTTTGAGGGCCTGTTTATCATGCAAGGATGTGTGTGGATGTTTATATATATGTTTTATTTACATATAATATGAGGATTGGTCACTAAGAAACTACATACCTATTTTTGTGTGGTTTTATATACATTGTAGCTGTGGATTCAAACTCTCAAACTTTGCAACCAATAACATTGGAATTGAGAAGACGGAAGATATCAAAAGGAAGTGAAGTTCCATTAAAACGTCCTCGGCTTGACAAAAATTCATGTGAGTCTTCAGTTTGTGTATGTGTGGCTAGAACTTGACATCCATTGGGTTAATTCCCCTGTGTCCATCTTGTCCCCTATTCCTTATAGGTGCTGATGCTTGTCCTTGAGCACAGGGGCTAGTGTGAGTGGGATGTGGTTGGATCAGAGGAGTTCTGCTAGAGGAAAAATAAATCTCAGAGCACAAGCTGTGTTAATGTTGGGGTCAGTAGTGTTGTCTCTGTACCCATAAACTCCATCTGATATGAATTCCACTGGAAATTTAATGGCTTAGGAAGGGATGGATTTCATATGTTGAGTGAAACTTCAAAAATACTATTTACTGATTTTACTGTATAGTACAGGGAATTATATTCAATATCTTATAATAACCTATAGTGGAAAAGAATCTGAAAAAGAATATATATATATATATATATATGTACACACATACATATGTACATATATATATATGTACATACCTGAAACTGTCACTTTGCTGTACACCTGAAAGTATCACAACATTGTAAAACAACTACACTTTCATTAAAAAAATACTATTTATTGATTTTTTTAAAAGTACCCTGTTGGCTCCAGAAAGGATTTGTGATGGCTCTAAGGCTCTGTAAACCTTACTGACTTGGGAAGTTAGTATGTAGACTTCTATGTTGGAAAGCCCCATATTTTCAGATCATAAATCCTTAAATTAGGAAAATTATATCCTGGCAGAAGGACTGTACCTGTACTTAAAACTATAAACCAGGATAGGGTATTTCCTTTCATCATCGATCTAATATTCTAGAAGTCTCTGGTTGAAGCCCTTATAGAGGCAGCCAGTCCAGAAATCTGTAGTAGCAGAATTATTTCTTCAGGTCTCTTGACTACAACTCTCTTAATGGTTTATAGCCCAGGAAAAGTCAAAAAACTACTCGGAAAACACTGACAAAGACTTATCAAGGAGACGGTCCTCCAGGCTGTCCACTAATGGGACCCACGAGATCCTAGATCCTGACTTGGTTGTATCAGATTTGGTTGATACGGTTACTACTGATCCTTTGCAAAACACATCATCTGGTACCAAGGAGTCTGAAGAAGGTGAGTCAGAGTCTGTTCTGGAATGGTCTTGCCAACATGCTCCCTGTCTAATGAGAATCAGTCTAAATCAATCATTGTGTACTGCCTTATACAAGTTTTAGATGGTCTTGAAATCAAGTTATTGAATTGGCTGCAGTGTTTCTTATATTCTTCGCTGAAGATTTAATAGACAAACTTCTGTTTGCATTTTTGATTGGTTTTGCTTATATGTGTCTGAATGTTGGGTTGGTGCAGTGCTTGAAGAGCCCTGTTCCTGTCTCTGTCTTTCTGATGCCATCTCACTCCAGTCCCTCTGCCTTTTTGATAATATTTCCAGCAGATCCTCCCTTCACTTTAGCTTCTTATTAGCCTTCGTCTTTGATATGCTCACAGCCCTGGCTATGTGTGCTGGAACCTGTGAATGTATTCTTGTATACCATGAAATGAATGGTTTCCTCTAAAAAGACCCTGGCTTTATCAGTTTCTTTTTTGTTTTAAATTTATTGATTAATTTATTTAGTTTTGGCTGCGTTGGGTTTTCATTGCTGCCCTTGGGCTTTCTCTAGTTGTGGCGAGTGGGGGCTACTCTTCATTGCGGTACGCAGGCTTCTCATTGCGGTGGCTTCTCGTTGCAGAGCACAGGTTCTAGGAGCACGGGCTTCAGTAGTTGTGGCTTACGGGCTCTAAGAGCGCAAGCTCAGTAGTTGTGGCCCATGGGCTTAGTGGTTCCATGGCATGTGGGATCTTCCTGGACCAGGGCTCGAACCTGTGTCCCCTGCATTGGCAGGTGGATTCTTAACCACTGTGCCGCCAGGGAAGCCCCTTTATCAGCCTTTTGTGGGACTTTTGGTTCTCAGATTATGTACGTGTATATGTTCCCCAATCTTTCTCGTTTTCTTCTAGGTCAGTTGAAATCTCCTTTGGAAGCTGGCCAGGTCTCATCTGCACTAACTTGCCACTCCATTGGGGATGGATTGGGGCCTGCAGGCTTGGAGTTGAACTGCAAGTCAATGGGCGAAAACACTATGAAAACGGAACCGGCTTCTCCCCTTGCTGAGTTACAAGAGATTTCTACGGTGGCAGGTTCATATTTAGAGTTAACATAATCCTCTTCTTATACTTTTGCTTCTCCTTTGATTGTGAACTAAAAAAAATGGATTTTCCTAATGATTTTTTTTTACCTTTTATTAATAATATTTTCTTATTTTAATGCTATATACATTTTAAAAATGCTATATACTTGTCATTTCTGATATTGCCAATTTGGCTTTCCTCTCTTTTCTTGATTAGTATAGCTAGGGATTTATCAATTTTTGTTGATAATTTCAAAGAACCAACATTTTACTTCAGTTTTCTCTATTTGTTTTTTTTTAATGTCATTGATTTCTGTTTTGATCTTTATTGTTTTCTTCCTTTAAATGTTTCTAGAAACATAGGTCATTAATTTTAGATTTTTCTTCTTTTCCAATATGAGTATTTAAAGTTATAAAATTTCCCACTAAGCACTGCTTCAGCTACATCCTACGAATTTTGGTATGTTGTATTTTCATTTTCATTCAATTCAAAATATTTATGATTTATTTGTTGACTATGGGTTACTTAGAAGTGTGTTGTTTCATTTCCAAGAGTATTGGTTTGTTTGTTTGTTTTTTTAAATTGATTCATGTTTGGTTGCATCGTGTCTTCGTTGCTGCGCACAGGCTTTCTCAAGTTTCGGCGAGCGGGGGCTACTCTTCGTTGCTGTGCGCAGGCTTCTCATTGCAGTGGCTTCTCTTGTTGCGGAGCACGGGCTCTAGGCGCGTGGGCTTCAGTAGCTGTGGCTTGCGTGGTCTAGAACTCAGGCTCCATAGTTGTGGTGCATGGGCTTAGTGGTTCCACGGCATGTGGGATCTTCCTGGACCCGGGCTCAAACCCACGTCCCCTGCATTGGCAGGCGGATTCTTAACCACTATGCCACCAGGGAAGTATTTTATAGATACCTTATTGTTATGATTTATAATGTAATTCCATTATAGTCAAAGAACATACTCTGCAGGATTTCAATCTTTTTTGTTTTTGTTTGTTTTTGGCTGTGCCGCACAGCATGCGGGATGTTCCCGACCAGGGATTGAACCTGGGCTGTGGCAGTGAAAGTCTGGAATCCTAACCACTAGGCCACCAGGGAACTCCTGAACTGTCCCCTTTGTAATGTGAAGTATAACTCTGGCTTTGGTGATTGTCTTTTACTTGAAGTGTACTTTGTCTGATATTACTCCAGCTTTCAAAAAAGGTACTCCAGCTTTCTTTTGTTTTTTGTATGCATGGTATATCTATTTCTATCACTTTTCTTTCAATATAACTATGTCTTTTAAGTTCAAAGTGTGTCTTTTATAGATAGATAGTTGGGTTTGGATTTTAACTGCAATGTTTAGTTACATTAAATGAAATTATTGATATGGTTGCTTTTAGGTCTGCCATCTCGCTTTTTGTTTTCTGTTTATCCCGTGTTTTGTTCTTTTACTTCTTTCTTGTTTTTTCAGGTCAACTGAATTTTTTAAAATCCCATTTTAATTCATCTATTAGCTTTTAGCTCTACTTGTTAGCATTTGTTTTAGAGGTTACTCTAGGCATTATGATATATATATATCCTTTTCATGGTTTAGAGTTAATATTGAACCACCTTATGTAAAATGTTGTATAATCCATTAACACCCCCTTTTTATGCTCTAGTTATGACATGAATTGTATCTATATGTGCTGGAAAGTCCACAATTTAGTATTATAATTTTTGCTCTAAACAATTACGTATTTTTTTTTTTTTTTTTTTTTTTTTTTTTTTTGAGGGGTA